ATTATCATACCAGGCAATGAGTTTGACAAAGTGGTCATTGAGGGCAATGCCAGCCCCAGCATCAAAGGTGGAAGAATGGCTGTCACTGTTGAAGTCAGAGGAGACGACCTGGTGCTCGGTGTGACTCAGGATGCCCTTGAGAGGGCCCTCTGAAGTCTGCTTCACCACCTTCTTGATATCATATTTGGCAGCCTTCTCCAGACGGCAGGTGAGATCCACGACCGACACGTTGGCAGTGGGGACATGGAAAGCCATGCCAGTAAGCTTCCCATTCAGCTCAGGGATGACCTTGCCCACAGCCTTGGCTGCACCAGTTGATGGAGGGATGATATTCTGGAGAGCCCCGCAACCATCACACAACTTCCCAGAGGGGCCATCCACACTCTTCTGGGTGGCAGTGATGGCATGGACTGTGGTCATGAGTCCCTCTCGTGGATGACCTTAGCCAAGGGGGCTAAGCAGTTGGTGGTGCAGGAGGCATTGCTGACAATGCTGAGGCTGTTTTCATACTTCTCGTGGTTCACACCCATCACAAACATGGGGGCATCAGCAGAAGGGGCAGAGATGATGACCCTTTTGGCAGCCCCCTGTAGGTGAGACCCAGCCTTCTCCATGATGGTGAAGACATCAGTGGACTCCACAACATACTCAGCGCCTGCCTCACCCCATTTGATTTTGGTGGGATCTCACTCCTGGAAGATGGTTATGGGATTTCCATTGATGACAAGCTTCCCAATCTCAGCCTTGACTGTGCCATGGAATTTGCCATGGGTAGAATCATACTAGAACATGTAGACCATGTAGTTGAGGTCAATGAAGGGGTCACTGATGGCGACAATATCCACTTTGGCAGAGTTAAAAGCAGCCCTGCAGACCAGGCACCCAATCTGACCAAAACCATTTATTCTGACCTTCGGTTTCACCATGGTGCCTCAGGGGTGCGGCTGGCACTGCACTAGAAGCAGCTGTCTGACGAACGGGAGGACCAGAGAGCCCTTATTAGCTTTTTAGACTTAGGCAAGTTACCCATACTTATTGGGCCTCAATTTCCCCATCCGTACAATGGAGAACTTACTCAAAGATTGTAGGGTACGCAGTCATCATTATTAAAATAGAGATTCCAGGCAGCAAATATGGCTCAGTGGGTAGGGTCCCGGCCCCATGCTGGGTGTTGTGGTGGCACCTGTAGTCCCAGCTACTCAGGAGGCTGAGGCAAAAGAATCACCTAAGCCCAGGAGTTGGAGGTTGCTGTGAGCTATGATGCCACAGCACTCTACTGAGGGCAATAAAGTGAGACTCTATTTCATTAAAAAAAAAAAAAAAAAGAAAGAAAGAAAGAAAGGAAAGAAAAAGAAAATAGAGATTCCTGGGCAGCACCTGTGGCTTAAGGAGTAGGGCACTGGCCCCATATACTGGAGGTGGTGGGTTCAAACCCAGCCCCAGCCAAAAAAAAAAAAAAGAAAGAAAAGAAAAGAAAATAGAGATTCCAATCCAATAGATCTCAGGTGGGTATCTGTACTTAATAAATTCTGTGGTGTTGCTGAGGCCACTGGCCCTGGGACAACACTTTGGAAGTAACTATGCTGTGCCTTTTTTTTTAAAAAAAAAACATGGACACCCATGTAGGCATTTGTTTTAACAAAAAAAAAGTTATGCTGTGTTTTAGTTACTGATATTTTTCTCCTGCTTAAATGCATTGTCAATATTTCCTTTTCATTATTCCAATAATGTGATTTTAAACTGCATTATATTCATTATTAGGCATTTATGTGGTTTCCATTTTTTAAATATCATAGATAATGCTGGAATATTCATCTACATACAAAAAATATTGGTATATTAGTCACTCAATCCTCACAAGAAGAAAGATCATGCCATTGGTTATGTCTCCATTTGAAAGATACAGAAAGTGAGGTTCAAGACCACATAGCTAATCAATGGGTTACCAGAAAAGAACTTTGATGGAAGAAGGTAACGTTGGTAAACTCTTTCACTCACTTATCCTGGGAGAAGTTGGCTGTGTTAGAAGGTACGGTACCTATCAGCTACCTAAAAAGAACTGTGACTGATAACAGGATTTTAAAGTAACACTTGTAAAGGCCATATCTGCTCTAATAAGGTAAGACCAAATGGAAACTGTAAACTAAAAAGCCAGTAATGCACTGAGTTATCATCAATCCTGCCCTTCCAGAAAGAGTACAAATTATTGATAAGCCTGACTTCATCTCTGATGATATCCATATCTCTGCACACTGTCCTCACCTTCCCAATTCCAGAACAATGTAGTATTTTATCTTTCTAGAGAGCATAGTACTATTCTGGTCAAAACAAGCATTTTACAAACTCTGAGAAACTTGAGAGCAGGAACAAGGTCTAATCATACACATCTTCCATTATGTGGCACCCAGCCTTTTATATTTTTGTTTAAAAACAAAAACAAACTGGCCAGGTGTGGTGGCTCATGCCTGTGATCCTGTAACTCTGAGAAGCCCAGGCAGGTGGATTGCATGAGCTCAGGAGTCCGAGACTAGCCTGAGCAAAGTCAGACGCTGTCTGTACTAAAAACAGAAAAACTAGCTGGGCATTGTGGCAGGCTCCTGTATTCCCAGCTACTTGGGAGGCTGAGGAAAGAAGATCACTTGAGCCTCGAGTTTGAGCTTGCTGTGAGCTATGATGTCACAGCACTCTAGCCAGGGTGACAGAGTTGAGACTCTGTCTCAAAAATAAATAAAATAAAATAAAAAAGGAACAAATGTATTCATTCAACTCCTACGTGCTAGGCTCTGTTGTTGGGAGGTGACAGACAATAAGCAAAAGAAAGTCCTAATCATCATGAAATTCACATTCTAGTGAAGAACAACACATAAAAAACTATTATGATAGAGTCCCTAGAACAATTTCTGGCACATAGTAAGTAGCACTCAATAAGTACTTGTTAAATAATGAATAAATTAATGAATAAATACATATTATGTCAATAAGAAATAAATGCTATGGAGAAAAAATAAGGCAGAGAAGTGGGATAGGGAAATACATTTTACTGTAAACAGTTTGGTTAAGAAATACTTCACTGATTAGGTGACCGTTGAGCAGCAACGTAAGGGAGGTAAACGAAAAGGCCATACCGATATCTGGAAAAATAATGTTTTAGGCAGAAAAACAATGACAATGGCCCCAAGCCCTGGAATGCTGGAGCAACTACAAGGAGACCAGTGTAGCTAGAACACAAGGGTAAGTGGTAGATGAAGTCAGAACAAGGAGAAGGTGTTGCTGCAGATCCGCATGGCCTTATAGATCACATTAAGGATGGTAGTTTTTAATCCAAGTGGGATTTTAACCTGGTACCCAGCAGACAGTTTTCAGCAGAGCAGTGACATTACCTTATAATACACTTAAAACGATTATTCATAGCCAGGCATTGTGGCAGGTGCCTGTAGTCCTAATTACTTGGGAGGCTGAGGCAAGAGAATCACTTAAGCCCAAGAGTTTGAGGTTGCTGTGAGCTGTGACACCATAGCACTCTACTGAGGACAACACAATGAGACTCTGTTAGACTTGAGGGATCACGATCAAAAGGAGATAAACTAACAGTAGCAGGGAAGGTGGTTAAGAAGTGTTCAAATACTAGATATATTTTGAGGTGAAGTAGACAGGACCTGCAAGTGGATTAGATGAGGAAAGTAAAAGAACAGAATCAAGAGAGACTCACTTATATCTGTATATTTGATACAAATAAAACTGAGATGGGGAAGAACTTGAGAAAAAAAGTTCTGAAATTAGATTTCTATTTTTTGAGACAAAGTCTCATTATGTCACCCTCAGTGGAGTGCTGTAGTGTTCCAGCTCACAGCAACCTCAAACTCTTAGGCTTAAGCAATTCTCTTGCCTCAGCCTCCCAAGTAATTAGGACTACAGGCACCTGCCACAATGCCCGGCTATGAATAATCGTTTTAAGTGTATTATAAGATCATGTCACTGCTCTGCTGAAAACTGTCTGCTGGGTACCAGGTTAAAATCCCACTTGGATTAAAAACTACCATCCTTAATGTGATCTATAAGGCCATGCGGATCTGCAGCAACACCTTCTCCTTGTTCTGACTTCATCTACCACTTACCCTTGTGTTCTAGCTGGGACTACAGACGTCCACCACGATGCAGTTGTTTAACTGGCCCAGGCTGGGTTTGAACCCGCCACCCTCGGTGTACGTGGCTGGCGCCATAACCACTGTGCCAATCCTAAAGTTAGATTTTTTAATAAGTACAAGAAGCTAGCTGAGTGCAGTGGCTCATACCTGTAATCCCAGCACTATGGTAGACTGAGGTAGGATGACTGCTTGAGGCCAGGAGTTTAAGGTTAGCGTGGGTAACATAACAAGACCCCATCTCTTAAAAAAAAAAAACTAAAAATTAGTAGGGCATAGCAGTACCTGCCTGTTGTCTCAGCCTCTCAGGAAAGCTAAAGCAGAAGGATCCCTTGAGCCTAGGAGCTCGAAGTTACATTAAGTTATGATCACACTACTATGCTCCAGCCTGGACAACAGAGCAAGACCCTGTCACTAAAATTTAAAAAAGGGAGGGGCAGCACCTGTGGCTCAAGGAGTAGGGTGCCATCCCCATATGCTAGAGGTGGTGGGTTCCAACCCAGCCCCAGCCAAGAACTGCAAAAAAAAAGGGGAGGGGGAATCTATTAGACACCCAAGTAGAGATAGCCAGTAGACAGATGAATATAAGAATCTAGAATTGGCTCAAGCAGCTGGGGGCGCCAGCCACATACACTAGAGCTGGTGGGTTCAAATCCAGCCCAGGCCTGCCAAACAACAATGACAACTACAACCAAAAAACAGCCATGCGTTGTGGCAGGTACCTATAGTCCCAGCTGTTTTGGAGGCTAAGGCAAGAGAATCACTTAAGCCCAAAGAGTTTGAGGTTGCTGTGAGCTGTGATGGCACTGCACTCTACTGAGGGTGACATAGTGAGACTCTGGTCTCAAAAAAAAAAGAATCTGGAGTTCATGGCCAGACATGGTGACTCACACCTATAATCTCAGCACTTTGGGAGGCTAAAGCACGAGGATCATTTGAGACCAAAAGTTTGATACCACTCTGGTATCATGGTCCATCTCTATAAAAAATTAAAAAAAAAAAAACAAAAAAGCCAAGCATGCCATAGTCCTAGCTACTTGGGAGGCTGAGGCAATAGGACCACTTGAGCCCAGAAGTTTGAGGCTGCAATGAGCTATGATCATACCAGTGCACTCTAGCCTGCGCAATAGAGCAAAACCTAGTCTCAAAAATAAGGCCTTGGGTTCAGAAAAGACTTCTAAGGGAATAATAAAAACTCAAGAATTGTGAGGGTATATAATATGGTATTTAAAGTCTTAAAAGAGATGACCTAGGAAAGGTAGATAGAGAAGAGATCCAAGGACTGCTCTGAGTACTCCATGATGGGAGTCTGAGGAGATGAAGGTGATCAGAAAAAAAAAGGTTGAGAAGGAGGGACTAGTAAGATAGGAGAACCAAGGGAATAGCATCCTAGAAGCCAAAAGAAGCTAGAAGGGAGCATCAAATGCTGCTGAGAGGTCAAGAATGAAAATGAGTGAGAAATGACCACTGAATATTCATGCTATTTTCTTTTTTTTGAGACACAGTTTCACTATGCTGCCCTTAGAAGAGTGCTGTGGCGTCACAGCTCACAACAACCTCCAACTTTTGGGCTTAAGTGATTCTCTTGCCTCAGCTCCCAAGCAGCTGGGACTACAGGCACCCACCACAAGGCCTGCCTATCTTTTGGTTGTAGTTGTCATTGGTGTTTGGCAGGCCCGGGCTGGATTTAAACCCACCAGCTCCAGAGTATGTGGCTGACGCCCTGGCCGCTGAGCTACAGGTGCTGAGCCTCCATGCTATTTTCTAAGCTTGTTCTTTCCTACTCCACGCATACCATTTTTCCACCTCTTTTAATCCAGGTAAAATTCCAGTATTGTCTAATGAATACACATATGGTTTCTCTTTAATGTAGCTCCATCCATGTCTCAAAAACACAAAAAAACAGAAATCAATGCCCTTAATCTGGATACAACAAATTTTACAGGGACTAATTTTTTTTTTTTTTTT